GCAGGGATTGTTGTGTTGCTTGTGTTCTAGTTCCCCGCCGGGCGGCAAAGGTTTCCCGGTCCCCTTTGAGCGTATTCCCCGGGGGGTTCGCGGGGGGCGGCAATGGCGGCGGTGGGAACTCGATGGGCTCCAACCGCGGGACCCCGCGCGTGGGAGGCAGATGGCTTTCCGCACGCACGCCTGTTTTTTTTGGTGCCAATGACGGCGCACGTAGTGGAGGTAAAAGTGGGGGGTGGGTGGGTGGGAAGTGCTGTTGTTGTTGACGCGTTGGCCATGGCGCCAGTTAGGTAGGCACCGCTAGAATTGTCATCCCGCGCGGGGATGCACGCACACTTGAAACAGGCCCGCGTGGGGGGGGGGGGGGGAGGGGGGGGCTTCGACGCGCGTTGCAGCCACCGCCACTCCCCTTTGCGACTGAGCGCGATGCCCACGCACTTCATAGCAGCATCGCGCTAAAGCCCGAGGGGGGCGATAGAAACCTAACATGTCGTGTGTGCTCGATATTTGGATCGAGCAGGTATTTGTCAAGGGGTGAGTTACACGACGGGATGCTGCTGCTCAACGACAATATAAACACACCCACACAACCAAAAAGTGTGGTCTTGGGGGTGATATATAGATAGTATTTGGCGCCGGCGTATTGTTAGTGGTTGCCTGCCTTCTTGCAAGGCAAGGCTCTTGCCGTACAAGAAGCGGGGTCTCCGTACCCGCTGCTGCTCTTTCGATAATTTAGTTTTAGTCGAGGTGTTCTTGGGACCTTTAGCGCGCGCCTTCCCTCTCCGCCGCAAATCTCCCCCGTTGTTATACACGCGCGTATGCGGGCTGCCGCTGATTTTCGACCAGTTGTTGTTGGTACGGGATCTGAGAGTGGACCGCGGTCGTAGAGGCTAGGAGCGTATGTTCTGTAGCGTGGCGGTGGCTATTGGAGGGATATCGGGCTACGACGGCCCGACCATCGCGACGTCGGTGCAGTGCACCAGTGAGAATAATTCTCTGTCCTGTACCGATGCATAATGGTACCTCTTCTCTTGGGACGAAGTAGGCGCTCTGCCGGGGCGCGCGGTATGCGGGGCGGGACTTGGTTGATGGACATTTGAGGGAATTTTGTTGGTTGGTTCGGAGGTTTCTAGACGGGGTGAAACGCTCGGCACGACCACTCTGCTGCATCGCACGGCGGCTTCTCGTGGCGGCCACATCCCTTCTGTGTTATAGGCGCTACGGTCGTATCTAACCCCGTCAGGGGGATAGCCTAGGTGTTGCTTCCATAGGGGAGGGGTAAACGCTTGATAACCGTCCGGCCAGGGAGAGTTACCAACATCAAGCGGCCGTTCGCTGTTTTCGAGCGATGCCCTCCGATGGGACTGCTGTGCCTCCTTCTTCTCTCCGTTCCGTGCCCACCTGTTCCTTCTCGGCACTCGGGCTATTAGTGGTAAAGGTCTCCTCTGCCCTACTAACAGGAGGAGTTATCATACATGGGAATAGTCTTGTTCGGTATCCATTTTCCCTTGGGGGGAATTTTCGGCGGGTCTGTAAGGCTACTGCTTGTTCCCTGTACTAATATTTCGGGGAAGGCACGCACTATAATAATAACCGAAAGGAGGCATTCTTTCCCTCTTATTGTGGGTGTTGTCCATATTTGGGGGATGGGGACGTGGCGTACATGGCGTAGGATTAGGAGCTTGCCCGGAGCGAGCTTTGGTTTGTACGACAGACATCGTGTGGTGGGCGGCGAGACGTCTTTCGCGTATGAGCATGAGCAACAACCCTGTGATGGGGGGGCGTTCTGGGTGGTTGTTGTCAGCGTGGCTTCGATTTTGTTTGCTTCTGGGCCGGCCTGATTGTAGCTTTTTTTTCTTGTGTTTCTTGAGCCATTTCATCTGTCAAGTTACTAGTCTACATATAATATCTTGTGTGACCGGATAGTCGTTTCTTGTTGCCTACACAGGACTGACTCCCTGGTAAAGACGTTCGCTGTTGCGGTTGTTCCCCTGAACCAGGCGGGATTTTGGGCTGTTTTTGTTTTTTGTTTTGTTTTTTACTTCGAGAACCCATGCATGCGGCGTGCAAGAAAGGATGTTTTCTTTTTGTAGCGCAGCTGGGTGTACCGAGTATTTTGCACATCATGGTGGTAAAATTGTTTCATGTAGTGCTGTGTGACGCCGGATCAATGTCTTTGGGGGAAGAAAGGCAAGGCCGTAGGTATGCATGCGGGGGTGGGTAGGTTGGCGAGCGGCGGTCAGCGAGCTGGATGATGACAAGAAAGAGTAAGGGATGTCCGTTGTGCGGTCTACAACAATAATCTTCTTAAGCACACGGTACAGACGCAGACTAATCGATTTCCAGGCTTAGAAGCCTGTGTGTAAAGGCAAAGCAGCAGCAACGCGATACTACTGTTGGAGCTGTCGCTGCCGCTCTGGATGCTTTTTGGTTGTTCCTTTCTTGTTGGTAACGGGGGGGGGTGCAGAGAGACTAAGAGGAGGCAGCTGTGGAAGCTGAAATCCTTCTGTTTGATCTTCGTTTGGTTCATGATGTGGCCGTGTATGGTTCATTTTAAGGGGAAGCACGGTAGGAAGTTAGCTGCCATTGCCTGCATGCAGACCCATTTATCTATCTACCGGTAAAGATTGTCCTTGATTTTTTCCTTCTTTTTTCATGGGAGCTTGTTACTGCTTGCTGTAATGTTTCTTTCGTTCCTACTGCAGTTTTTTATTAGTGCTATTTATCATTCATTCTGTTTTCTTTCATGGAGGAAGTGTTATGCCTTTCGTACGCACGTGCGTATGTCACGGCTGTATGCATACCATAGAGAACTAGCCAACAGAGTAGACAAGAGGTGCAATAATTGCACCACGTTAATTTATGGGATGAGCTGAGGGGACAACGGGTGGGCCTTATCTGCTGGAAACTGAATCTCGTGGTGTTTTTGTTTCCATGTTTTGAAAGCGGTGCCATCAGGTACACGTATAGTAGCTGCACTAACGCTCCGCCAACGGAAGGACGTTGATCGCAGCAAATTACGTTCTACATTATTACCAATGGATGGTGGATGAGGTGTTACCTGACGTACTCACGCTCGGCTTGTCTCCTGGTAGACAGCAGCGGATCGTGATCACGCTTGTTTCCCCGTCGCATCGAAATTCCGATATCGCTGCCGCTACGATCGACGGTGTTACATTTTACATCTAGTGGGGAGGGCGGGCGCCTCTGACAGAGGGGGGGCACACGGAGGATACCGGAAAGAAAGGGCCATCCTCAGTAACCTTGGTGCTTTCAATCGAACAAGGACAACACAACACCTAAATCTATCTACCGATTGCGCACAACAGTCCTTCGCTCTAATCCTGAACCACGGTCCGGCTGGCTTCAGCGAGGCGTGCGAGCTCCGAGCTCCGAGGCGATTTTTATCTGGGGAGGGGGGGGGGCTCCGTCGAGGAAATAAACGAAGGCAAGGCCGTCAGGAGTGCACCAATCAATGCTTTTTCCCCTGTTCGCACCACGCTCCAGGTGCTCCTTGTAGTCATAAGCCAATAAACTAACATATCAAGCTTTTCTAAATTTACCATCCAACCACCGCAGACCACAAACGATCTCTGCTCACCACCTAGTGTATTTATCCTATCCTCAAGTGAAACATAGACAGACTCCCCCCCT